TCACTGGGGGCTCGCGAAAGGCGGCGGGCGGACGGGCGCACGGCGGACGCGCGGACTGCGCTCCGCGGCGGGCCCCGGAGGCCGAGCGCTCCGAAGCGCGGGCGCCGAGGCAGCAGCCGGAGCCGGAGGCGTCCCTCACCGGAGCCGCGCGCGCCCGGTACCTCCGAGTCCTCGCGCGTCTCCGCCGCCGCCGCCAAGCCCCGCCCCACGACGCCCCCTCCCCGCCGGCCGCCGCGCGGCGCCCCGCCCCCTCAACGCCCCCTCCCCGTCGTGGCGGGGCGGAGCTCGCAGTTGGGGGAGGGGTCTGGAGCTGGATCCCGGGCGGAGGGCGGCCGGGAGAGTGCCCGGGACCTGAGCGCGGTAGGGTGAGAGACTGTGCCTCTGCCTGATCTGCGAGGACGCGGGGACCATAGTGACTTTTGATTCCGTGACCCCTGGGGAGGATGGTCAGCTCGGGGCCTTCTAGGGGACTCTGACCAACAGTTCCCCCAAGTCCGCGGGTGGGAGGGAACTCTGCAACCTGAAATCCTTAGCGAGACCTAGAACAGACGGCTGTCCTTGGTGTCCCCCACGCAGGGTAACCTGGAGAGATGAGGGACCAGTGCATGGCTGGGCTCTCGTTTGGCTCTGGACCACCATGAGCCCAAAGGTAGAAACTGACTGGACTCGGAGCGCCAGGCTGACGGCTGTTAAACTGAAAGATTCATCCCAAGTCCATCTCCAGGCAGTCTGGGCTGTGTCAGGGCATGGCCAAGTCTCCAGCTGTGGGGAGGCCCAGCACAGCCTTGTTCCAGGCACCCCCACCCCAGCGCCACCACCCCCACATTCTTTCTTTGTTGTGAAAGCAGCAAGGGGTGTAGGAGGCGGGTCAGGAGGAGTCAAGCTTTAGAAGATGGGCCCCAGCTGCTGTTCAGGCCTCCAGGATATGCTGAGGGGATGGAGAGCGAGTGCCTCCTTCCCCTCTGGCTCCGGAGGGCCCCCCAGGCCTGCTTAGACCTCCCTTCCCCCCAGCAGCTGGAGGAGGAGGGGCAGCCACAGAGGGCCTCACCGCCCGGGAGCAGTGGCGCCAGGACTCCAGGGTCCTGCCACATGGCCACCACATGTCCCTGACAACCCAGCCACAGCACCTTCTCCTTGGGGTGTGGGCCTCCTCCCCCACCCCCCAGATGCCTTCCTGCAGGCCCTGCTAGAGAGGATACAAACAGGGAAGGAAGAGGGGAGAGATCCAAGAATCAACACTCCTGTTGCCCCATCCATCACTGCCCCTCACCCTTCCCTTCCGTGAAGGGCTCCAACACAACCCTTGCTTCCTACCCTCTTCAATCAGGACTCAAGTGGCAGAATGGTTACCTGATTCTTTTATTTAAGAAAAGTGAAATACATGGACCTGAAGTGAGGCAGCCGAGGGAACAAGAGAGGCCAGGGCCAGGTATCTTGCTTGGCCAGCCCAAAACCTCTGACAGATAAGCCAGCAGCAGGCTGCATCTCTGAGGTGCATACCTGCTCCTTACCCACCTGGGAGCCTCAGAGCCAGCTACTCGAGGACCACAGGGTGGGGAGAGGATGTCCTGAGGGTCCTTGAAAAGGATTCCTGAGGAGGGAGCTGAGACCCTAAGGGCAGCAGCAATCTTCTGGTTAACTGTTTCCCCTTCACTGTCCCCCCAAGGGGCTGGAAGAGCCTGGAGCAAGAGGGAGTGCTGTGAGGGCTGCGGGGGAACCCAGGAGACCTGGGGGGTGGGTTGAATGTCAGCTTCTTGAAGAGAGGTCCATAGTGCTGGCACTGAGGCCTCGGGAGACCTGAAACAGACAACATAGGCCATCAGCCCAGGAACCTCAGCCTCCTGAAGACTGTCCCCTGGAGTCTGTCCATCTCGTGGCTGCAGTCTTATCTCTTGACCTACGATGGACCTGTAACCTCAACCCCAAGATCTGAGGCTTTGCTAGGATTTTCCAGAAGGCCACAGTCTGGTGGAGAAAAGACCTGGAAGAGCCACATGAATATTGGCATATGCTTTGAATGTGTTGATGCAAGTGGTCATTTCCGTTAGAATGTCATTACTGTTTTTTCAAAAGGAGATGATTGGATACTTTTTTCTTTTTCCCTTTTTCTTGACTACTGAGTCCCCAAGGTAAGGTGTCTGGTGGCTACAGGAGGAAGAGCAAATCTTTCCTGAATTATTACTAATTCTAAAGTACCAGTTTAGAGAACACTGATTCCTGTTACCCCCTCATGAATTTAACTGCTACTATCTCTGACCTGAACTGTCCCTCCCTAGTCACCACCACCACCACCACCACCACCACCAAGCTGCCTGCCTGATTCCGGCTGCCAGGTCCAGTTCCCTAGCCAGAGTCTTCATCCCAGATGACTCTCTCTCTTCCCTAACTCCCCCTGGGCTTGCTCCAAGGCTGTCCTTTCTTCCTCACCCACCGATAAGCTCACCAGCACTGCTCTCACCTGCAGGGGTGCGGCACTGGGATGGTTCAGGTAGTTTAAGGAGGCTGCCCGCTTCATGTTGCTGCTACAATGGGAAAGAAAGAATTGAGGCCTCTTCCTTCCTTTTTTTTTTTTTTTGTTAGCCCTCACCCAAGGATATTTTTTCCATTGATTTTTTCCTTAGAGAGAGTAGAAGGGAGGGGAGGGGAGGGAGAAACATGGATGTGAGAGAGACACATCAATTCGTTTCCTCCTGCACATCCCTGACCCAACCCGGGGTCCAGAATGGAACCTGCAACCAGGGTATGTGCCCTTGACCAGGAATCCAGCCCTCAATCCTTCAGTGCTCGGGCTGACACTCTAACCACTGCTCAGTGGCCAGGGCACTTCCTCTTGAGTGTTACTAAGGCTGTGGGCCTGCCACACAAAAGCAAGTCACTGCCTCCTCCACATCACCCCCCTCCCCGCCCCCAACACACACATACTTTCTTATCTTCATCGGTAAAGAGCATCTCCTCAGGTGTCTTTTCCCCCTACTGGGGCACCATTTTTCCTGAACTCTCTCCATGGACATCCCATTGACCTGCTCTATGATTCTTCTCCAGAGGTGAGAGGCCCAGAGGCTTTGGAGGACAGGGCTCACCTGCCTGCTTTGCCATATCTCAGTCTCACTGTACCTGGAGGACCGAGGTTCGGTTCCCTGAAGCTTCCTCACCAGGAGTTCACTGCTTCTACGAAACACATCCCGGATCCTGCCGAGAGAGCCACTCCTCTGCAGGGTCCCACTGCCATCCTGGTGGAGAGGGATGGGGAACAGAAGCTAAGGGGACCCCATGCAGACTGAGTCAACTCCTGCCATTTATTCTGCACACTCACCCCTCCCCCAAAGGCCCAGGGACTGAAAACCAGAGCCCAGCCACTAGCTGGCTGGTAGATTCCTCTGAGAGGGTCTTGACTGAACTGGAGTGGGGACATGTTCTCATATCCTTCATGGACAGGCTCAGAGCCTCTCACTGACACCAGCAGGCAGGGGCAGGAGAGACCCAGGGGCAATTGCCAGACTTACCCCTGACCACTCCACAGCCACAGAGGCATCTTCACCTCCCTCGTATCTCACGCTGCTCCCAGGACCCTCCTGGGAGGTCCTTCCACTGTCGCCCTCCCCAAGCAGCTCAGCCACCTTGGTCTGGCTGATAGGGTCAGTGCCCTGGAAGAAAAAGGAAGAAGCTGGGACTTCCCACTCCTTACTCCTCAGGATGGGTCTTTCAAACCCTCTTTCACCATCAGCCACAGGAAGGAAGACACTTTTCCTTGTGATGTCCCAGTACACAAACTGGAACGCACCTTTTCTATGTGCGATGCATTCCTAGGTATAGATGCATATATATGTTTAGCCATGGCACACACTGAATTGCTTTCTTGACCCACTAATGAGCTAACACCCACAATTTGAGACGCTCTTGATATTGGGCTCCCCTCACCCACACCAGCCATGCATGCCTCTCTTTAACAGAGTCTTCAAATTGTGGAAGGGCAGGGCTTCCCTTTTAATAATCCCTTTCAGTGAAGTGAACCTTGAACTTGGAGTTCTGACTGCAAAGGGCAGGTAGGGGTAAGAACACACTTAAAACCACCACAACCACGAGGGTTATCACCTTCCTCTCCAGGTCTCCCTCCTCGGTCCCTCCACTTGTTCTTCCGAGACTCAGAAGAAGCCTCAGTGGTCTTGTCCCTAGGGCACTACCTCGGGACACCCTTCCCCTCCCAGTCTCTGACCTGTTTCCGGGAACGCAGGGCACACTCCTCCAGGGTCTCAGCTGCCTCCAGCTTTCCCTGGCGCCTGTACAGAGCTCCTAGGTTTCTCAGAGTGGTGTTCACTGTGGGGCTGTGGGGGTGAGACCAGGGAAGGAGGTGAGGATGGGCTCTAAAAAGAAACAGGAGCCCTAGGCGGTTTGGCTCAATGGATAGAACATCGGCCTAAAGACCAAAGGGTCACGGGTTCGAGGGAAGCCCTGCAATTCTACAATCTGCAGGCTGCTTCGAGGCCCGGGCCCTGGACAGGGCTCGTGCAGGAGGCAACCAATCAATGTATTTCTCTCATCAATATTTCTCTCTGTCTTTCCCTCTCTCTTCCACTCTCTCTAATAAATCAATTGAAAAATATCCTCAGGTGAGGATTAAAAAAGAAAAAAGAAACAGGAGAGGGAGAGAGCAGAGCTAAGGCCAAGGCAAGTCAAAGGGAGGAAAGGGAAAGGTCCAGGAGGCCAGGATCAGGGCTGAATGGAGGGCCTCAGAGGCCAAGCCACCTTCTCACTGCCGCTTACCTGCTCACTTTGCAGGCCTTGTACCAGCCTCCGTACTCTGCGTAGGGTGTGCCACCTTCCCGGTGCCGGGTCTGCAGGACAGAAGGGGAGAGGAAGCCAGAGATGTGACTACAGAGATTTGGGATGCAAGCTGGAGCTGGGCTAGGGTGCAGGCTGGGTTGGGGAAGGTACCATGCATCTGGGGCTGGTGCTTGGTTGGGAAGTGAAGAACTGGGCTAGTGCCAGGAGTAAGACAGAGGCCCTGGGAGCCTCAGGCTCCCCAGGCTGGCTCCCCCCACTCACTTTGCTCATTTCCTCCCGCTCCTCTGCATGCATCCAGATGGGCTTGTGGTTATCTGGGGGTGATACATGGGATGGCATGGCAAGGTTAGAAAACTGAGCTTTACAGTATGGGGGGAGCCAGGACCCAGAGGCCCACAGGGCTGGACTAAAGGGGTCTGGCTCCCCCTGGGAACCACTGTGGCCTAACCCCCAACCTTTGGTCTGCATTTCTTTCCCTCCCAGCAGCTCCCTCTCCAGGCCATCACCACTCACCATCCACAGACCCAAACTCCTGCACATGGGCTCGGGTCAGGATCTCTTTGTAGAGCGTCTCCGCCTCGGCATATTTACCCTGTTTCAGGTAACAGGAAGCCTGGGGGCAGGAAGGCAAAAACACAGGAGCAAGAGATGGAGCAAGCTCTCAGCCAGGCTCAGGGACTTCCACTTCGTGTTCTCTTTATGACTTTCCCCAGAGATCCTCCTCACACCTCCTTTCCTAGCTATGGTCAAGAGTGTTCCCACTCCATCCTAAGAGGCTGTAGGACTTCTGCTTCCCACTGGAATGAAGCAGATCCCTCAGCCCCAAAGACAGCCCCAGAGATGGCACAAAGGTGATGGTGTTAATGTACCAGACTATGATGCTGTCCCCTCCCCTCCTTCCACCCACTGTGCCCCCTCTTTCCTTACCAGGTTGTTCTTGGTCCGGGCTACATTAGGGTTGTCTGGTCCCAGCTGCCCTTCATAGATGGCCAGTGCCCGCCGGTAATAGCGTTCCACAGCCTCATACTTGCCCTGGTTTTGGCACAACAGGGCCAGGTTGTTCAGCTGCTTTGCCACATCTGGGTGGTCAGTGCCCAGGACCTGAAGGGAAGCAAAGGAGAAATAGGTGGCTATAAGTATGTGTGTCCGTGTGTGCACACACATGCACATGCACCTACAGGGAACAGGGAAAGGGAATGACAGAAAAGAAGACAACCAAGAAACCAGAAACACCAATTAGAAAGGATATATGCACCCCTATGTTCATAGCAGCACAATTCACCATAGCTAAGATTTGGAAACAGCCTAAGTGCCATCAGCAGATGAGTGGATTAGAAAACTGTGTTACATCTACACAATGGAATACTACGCCGCTATAAAAAAGAAGGAACTTTTACCATTTGCAACAGTATGGATGGAAGTGGAGAGCATTGTGCTAAGCGAAATAAGCCAGTCAGAGAAGGATAAATATCACATGATTTCACTCATATGTGGGATATAATGATCAACATAAACTGATGAACAAAAATAGATCCAGAGATAAATGGCAGGGGAGGTGGGGGGGTTAGAGATCAACCAAAGGACTTGTATGCATATTAGCATAACCAATGGACACAGACACTGGGGCGGTGGGGGCTTGCCCAGGGTGGGAATGGCTGCGGGGGGAAAAAGGAGACGTACGTAAAACTTTAAACAATAAAAAAAATAATTTAAAAGAAAAGAAAAGAGAAGACAAGGCAGAGATAGGGAGGTAAGAAACAAAGAAGTGAGGCAAGAGGGTAAACCAGAAGACAGATGCTGGAGAAGGGGTCACAGCAGCAGGGAAGAATGGGGAGAGGATGTGGGCACCTTTTCTCGGATCTCCAGTGCCCGCTGGCACAGCGGCTCCGCCTCCTTATATTTGCCCCTTTTGCCATAGAGCACAGCCAGATTGTTGAGTGTGGCAGCCACCTAGGAAGACAGGCCTGTCCCCTCAGACACTGGTGCTTTCAGGGACGTTGCGAGTTGGAGGTCCTCCCCCACGCTGCACACCCCCAAGAGAAACGGACTCTGCCACCCTAGCCAGAGTCAGGGGAGGGGGAATTGCTGAACTGGATGGCTCTGGGGCTCTCTATGGGGGGCATCGCCCCCTAGGGGCACTTTTTTTATATTTCTGAAGGAGGGTTTTATTTGTGTGGTGTTTTTGTTTGTTTGTTTTTGGTTGCCATGAATATTGGGGGCCTTATTACCTTTGGGGAGGCAAGGAAGCTAGAGATGTTCTGCATGTGTGGCATAGCTCGGCCAAATTTTGAATGTCCTGCCTGACATTCTCTGACAAATGTAAGCTTTGACACTTGGTGGGACATCAAGACACAAGTGATGTTTTCTGAGATACAGCATCTCTGCCTATCACATGTCATAACATAGGGAATCATTTTCACACAGTTAGTTCACTTTCAGAAATATCTTATTTCTCATTTTCTCCATTTTGACAACCCATTGTTTACCTTAGCATGCTACCCCTGCTTATTTCTCTCTGTTTTATGATATACAAATAAATCTGGTCTGTTGTTATTCTAACACTATATTTTAATCTCGTATCCACCAATCCTTCTGCTGTCATTTTTAATACTTATTTTTTTAAATATGTTTTTATTAATTTCAGAGAGGAAGGGAGAGGGAGAGAGACGTAGAAGCATCAATAATGAGAGAGAATCGCGATTGGCTGCCTCCTGCATGCCCCCTAGTGGGGATCAAGCCCACAACCCAGGCATGTGCCCTGACCTGGAATCGATCTGTGATCTCCTGGTTCAGAGGTCAATGCTCAACCCCTGGGCCACACCTGCAGGGTTAATACTTATATAGAATGGTTTCCTGGTCTTACCCCTTCTAAATATAAAGTTATTCACTATATATCAGACTACTATATCATATCTTCTAGCATAGTTATATTCAGTACAACTGTTATATTGTATTTTATTTCATTTTAATGTATTGTATATATTATTTTACTATAAATTACTTTCCCTGTTTCACTTTCATATTAATAACTTATCATTCAATGTTTTGGAAATTATATGTGTAGGTAGACTACATAATCTATGAATTAAGTTTCTGGAAAATATTCATTATAAGAAGGAGGAGTCATTTGGCCCTGGCTGATGTGGCACAGTTGGTTGAGCATCATCCCATACACCAAAAGGTTACTGGTTTGATTCTCAGTCAGGGCACATGCCCAGGTTTTGGGCTTGATCCCCAGTGAGGGGCATGTATAAGGCAGCTGATGGATATCTCTCTCTCTCTCTCTTTCCATCTCCCTTCCTCTTTCTCTCTAAAATCAATAAAAACTTTTTTTTAAGGAGTCATTTGGGTCTCAGAGTTGGGATCAGTGGACAGTGCCTGGAAGAAAGGAGTCCTCACATCTCCTTCTTGAGCATCCCCAGTGACTAAGCTGCGGGCGGAGGATGGACAGCTAAGAGACCAAAAGAGCATGGGGGAAGGAGGGCAAGGAATACTGACCGCAGGGTGGTCCCGGCCCAGGGTGCTCTCCCGGATGCTGAGGGCATCATTCAGCAGGTGGGCAGCTTCCTTATACTTATTCTGGTCCCTGGAAGAGGACAAAAGTATCAAGGGGTTACCGTGAACTCTGCCCGCAAGCCCTCTCCTTCCCTCCTATCCTTTGGGATCTGAGATACATTTAGGGATTGGACCCACCATGAGGAGACACGAAGCCCCGTGTGAGCAGTGACGGGTTCACCAACACACCCATACTGTATGCAAAACTCGCCATGTCAAGAGGAGCCACCGGTTATTGGACACAAGAAACAGAGAAAGAGACCCTCCCCAGGAGACAGACTGAGCAAGCAAAGAGCCTGAGAAAGGAGTGTTCTCTAAGGTCAAGGGCTCAGGTATGGATAGAATGAGAGTTCTGGTACAGAAGAAAGCCTCCAAGTGGCATACACCTGGAAGGCCCAGCAGGGAGAAGAGATACCCAGTGGAGAGGAGGAGCGGGAGCCTAAGATGGATCAAGGTGGAACCTGGAAGCAGATTTGTGGCCAGAGGGAGGGCAGTGCTCACCGATACACCAGAGCAAGGATGTTGAGCATGGTTGCAACATCTGGGTGGCCCCGGCCAGATGTGCGCTCCAGGTCCTCCAGTGCCTGCTTACAGAGCGGCACGGCCACCTCGTAGCGACCCTGAGCTGCATACTGGATCACCAAGTTGTGAAGAGTCCGTAATCTCGCTGGGATCTCATATCCGCTATGCTGGCGC